GGAGTGGTCCATGCCACGTGCATGCGTGAGGGGCCAATCTCCTAGCCAGGGGGGTGGTCAGAGGACTTCTGGCCGGTGGGACTGTCTTTGAGGCAATGTGGGCATGTTTTTGCGAATTCAGTCTTGAAGGCAAAAGGCACCTGGCAGGGCTCGAAAGGACAAGGGGCTGCATGGGGCTGCATGCTTAAGCCAACATTGAGACAATTTCGCTCCCTGGAACCTTTTTGGCCTTGATATCTGAGCGATTTCGCAAAAACATGCCCGCTATGTTTTCGCCTGGATTCGGGCGTAGCTAAGCTAGCGACCTTAAACCTAGGGGGAGGGGGGGGGTCCATCACGGCCAGGCTGGGCACATGGTCAGGGCACTGGCCTATCTGCTGGTGGTTTGCTGGCGGCCAGCTGTCAAAAGCAGGGGGAGGGGAGGGTGTCTTGTACTGACACCCCCAGCTAGCTAGACCTTAAGATTTTAGTGTTAAATAACCTTGCTCTTAACTGTGTTTTGGGTGTTTTACTCAGTTGTTGAACCTTGTTTGAGGGTTCTATGTGGACATCACACCCTGCTGGAGTGGTCCATGCCACGTGCATGTGGAGGGGCCAATCTCCTAGCCAGGGGAATGGTCAGAAGACTTCTGGCCGGTGAGACTGTCTTTGAGTCAATGCAGGCATGTTTTTGCGAATTCGGTCAGATATATATAAAGGGAACTAGCATTCGAAATGTTTCTTAGGCAGTTAAGTCCATTTAAGAATTATTCCACCAGTGCTTGTTGGATATGAGATGATAGATAGCCAAAGAGGTGCGTAGAACCGAGTTGGCTGTAACCAAGAAGCTGATAATTTTAGACAGAAAATTTCAGAACATATGTATGTAAACAAAGTCTTAATCTATTTCACTCTTTATTGAAGCGGTCAATTCTCTTCTATTCCAAACACTATTTTGTAAGTATTCTGTTTAAAAAAGGGGCCTGAGAATGTACTTTCTCAGCAGCGGGGAGTGGGAAATGCTAACAAACAGGGAAACAGAAAATGTCAAGATTCGGAATGTAAATAGGAAGCTAAGCTGTGTGAACAGCAATAATTATGAAGGTGATATTTTCCAGCGGATGACATTTCCTTGTTTCATTTTTATTAACATGACAGATACCTGTTTACTCTATATACAAAAGGCTTATTTGTGAAAGTATACTTTTCTAAATTTTTCTGAGCTGAAAACAAAACTGTGCCTTGTGCTGGTGACATTATTAGCCTGCAACGAGCTTACCACGCCCCTGCCTAAATCTTGGCAAGCTTTTCTTTGGTCTGAATGCGCCTTCCTACTGAGAATCACAGCGAGCCTTCACAAATGTCAACAACAACAACAACAATCTTTATTTTCATCACGTTTTATGCACTCTGTAACTGGCAGATGTACTGCATAAACTAACATATGCGATAACTGTGCATTAAATCATTCTGCAATCTGCAGATAAGTTTGGTGGCAAAATGTGGTAGTATTTCAATAAGGCTCTGCCACCATTAGCAAAGGTAAAAAAGGCAAAGCTCCCAATCAACATTCCGTTCTAAAAAAAAGAATGGTAATATAGATCCCTGTATTAAGTTTATATAATTAAGTATATAGCATATCCATGTACCTGAATCAGAAAAATCATCTGCTTCTGTTAAAATCTCTCCTGTAATGAAAAGGGTTGGTTTTGACACAGGTACAGCTAGACTTCCCAGTTGACCTATAATGATAAAGAGAGACTCACATGTGAGTTGACCAACATGATGTAACTGACGTACATGTTATCGATATACTACAATGACTGAAAGACACCCCTGTAAACTTCCAAAAGTACAAACTCTGGTTACTTTTGGATTTAGCAGCCTTTTCTATCACTACTTTATGAGGGTCATAACTTTCAGGGGGTCGCTTTACTTTCAAGTCAGGTAACTAAAACATGTACCCACATGTACATTACCACATGTGGGCCAATTCATCTTAGTCAGTAATGAAAAATAAAAATACTCTCAACATACACCTGTACAAGGAGAAGAAAGGATAAATCTTGTTGAAAAGAACTTATTTCACAACAAACATTGAGTGTTCTGGGAAATCTTTGTGACTCTCCTGTCACTGTCTGCAGTTGGTCTGTACTTTGCGAAGACGAAGTTTAACAATGATGCTTTGTGGAATACGAATAATGACCACTCTTGATTTATCAGATATTTCCATTGTTTTGCAAGTCAAATTTCGTTTGAGGTCGCTACTTTCACATGGTCATTCCTATTGGAAATTCACTGTTTGGGGGATTTGCTAAGGAATGTAGAATCTAATTGCCCTTTTCAGGGGATTTCTACTTTCAGAACTTTCCAGTGTATCATTCTCTTTTTACAAACCAATGAATGGCAAATGAATATGAAGTGAGAGAACCTGATTACTTGAGCTTGTGAAAAGTACTGATTCAGTTGGTTTGCCATAATGATTTACATGTACCTTTATCATCTGATACTGAAGGACCTTCATCAGTTCCAGTTTTCAGTTTTTCCTCAACTGTTCCTGTTCCTGAATCATCTTCTCCATCCCTTTGAGCTAACCTCTCCTTGAATTCATCAATGAAATGCACATGGACTGGTTGTTCCACAGGTACAGCGACATTTCCACGTTGATCTTTAAAGATAAAGAGAGACTCACTACTGAGTTGAGAATCATGATGTGATTGATGTAAAGGTTATCAAATGATGACAAAAATGACAAAACAGTACTGGACAGAAATAAGCTGAGAGGACTCAATGCTGAAAGCATTCTTCAAGTGTTCCATTTCACATTTCATCAGGGCATTCCATTGGTGTTCCCTTCCCATTCTGGAGCACAAAATGGAGCATTAAAATCTTCCGGACTGTAGGAAACACATTGAGAAAGTTTTTCTGTGACATTTTCTTATCTTTTCCATACTGTAGGGAAAGTCTGCATATGAGCCAAGTGGCCCATCAGGCCAAAGCTTGTTGCGACTAGGATTATTTCTATCCCCCCTGGATGGGATACTAGTCCATTGCAAGGTTACCCCCAGCATTAAATTCACCGGTACCCATTTGTACACCTAAGTGGAAAGGCACTGTGAGAGTAAAGTGTCTTGCCCAAGAACACATCACAATGTGCCTGGCCAGGGCTCAAATCTGGACCACTCGATCTGGAGTCAAGTGCACTAGCCATGAAGTCACTGCACCTTGACAATACTTTAGAATCCTCAAAAAATGAAGCTTGAATAAAGTTGGTAAAGAACACTAAACATCAAGATGGTGTCTACAGTGGCATGCAGTTACAATTTTCAAAAACTTAGTTCTCTTAGTTCTCTCTTAATTCTGCTTGACCATGTAAAAAGTGTATGTTGAGGTCTTAAGAAGAATTAAACCTATCTGTCAAGTGTGCCATCCTTCAATTGTCTAGACTAATTTATGCAGATTTAAAATTCAAACACAGAACTGATTTACATAAACTTTTCTGGACTAAACACAGCCTGGTCTTAATTTGGCTTATAATAGCTATAAGCATTAAATAACATTTTTAGTCCAAAACACTCAAACAAAATCAATGCAGACATAGTGGGGAAGTAAAAATAAGTGCATGGAAGGTCCTGTAACAAAAGAAAATTAAAAGGTTTCGTCTTCTTATGGCAAATGCAGCACATTCTTTCAAATAGAAGTTTTGTCTCCAGATATTGTTTTCCTGCATTTGTATTGCTTTAAGGGCCCATTAACCGATCTTTTCAAGCTGTTGCTAAGGAAAATTTATTCTCATATAACCTCATCATTTTCGTTGGTTCATACCGTATTTACCCGTGTATTAGTCGATCCCGTGTATAAGTCGACCCCCAATTTTTGAGGCCAAAAACTAGATTTTCTTAATTTCCAGGTAAGAAT